CACTCCAATGTAAACCCCTCACTCTGTTTACTCCCTTTCTCTGGAATAACGTGATGATCCCAGTATTTTTCAAGAATGTTACCACACGTCAATCGTCACTTGACATCCTGCTCCAAAATGTCCTAAGATCTCATCCTCCCTCTCTCACTTTGAAAAAGCTACTAACATTGCTTTTAGGGGCTTGTTTTTGTGATTAGTAGATTTTTTTTAGCATTTTAGTCATATATATTAGGAATTATATTTTTTTAATTTGTGCCTTCTCCAAGATTAAGTAATAATCTTTGAAGAAATATTAAAGACACCTGAAAAATAGCAAAAATTAACCCACATCACATCTTTAACAGTTTTTGAAAATACAGGCTTTCTTTAAAAGGTCAGATAATTAATAAAGCAAGATGTTTTTCACATACAGACTTAATCTTAAAAAATATTTTTCCACTTTTTATCAGAGTTTACAGACACGTTTTAAGAATTTGATCTCAATGAATGGATACTCCTCTTACTATGTTTTGGAATATTTCTATCATATCCTGAATAATTTAACCACTTTTTTCAAAAATATTCTTATTCCTCTATGAAAGCAATTTTAACACAATGAATTGAAAAGAAAAAACAATGAAAGTTTAACATTCATAAGTACTACAAGCTTTTGTTAAAACACTAAAAAAATGCAACATATTCATTCCTCATTCTTTATCTTAAAATACTGACTTTCTGATTCTAGCAAAATATAATTTTAGTAACTCATCAAGACAGAATACATAAAATTGGCATATTTTTGATATGCACACAAAATGAGAAAGCATCTTTCCCAACTGTGCTGCAGAAAATGAAATGCATTTGGTATGACAATATGGCCCGGCACATGAACTAGAATCAGTGGGAAGAACGGGTTTCTTTTTTTCAAAGCAGAACATTTTAAATAACGTGCACACCCCAACAGCAAGGCATAATCAAGTGTGTATCAAAGGTATCCTTGGCTAAAGAAAACATAACAGCAAGTGGGCTGGCAGGTGCATGGGAGGTAGCCCATCAGTGACTTTCAAATCTCTTTTCCCAGCAGTCCAAACTGATTTCTTGCTCTTGCTTAACATCTCCACCCAGTGTCAGAGTATGTGCACATATGTTGTTGGGGCCTCATGCTGGGCTGGGGGGTGGAGAGAAGGGGAGTGTGTTGCAGAACATGGCTGATGCCAGAATCAAGCAGAGAACAAGAGAAAAATTGAGCAATTTGCCTTGTTTTTGCAACAAATTTTCTTTCTTCCTTGAAAGAAAGTTCTTCTTATGTAGGCAATCTGAAGATGGATTTAATGCTTTTATTGTCTTTTCTTTCATGCGTTCCCATCTGTGCTGGTGAACTGTGAATAAAACTGAAATCTGCATGTGTTACGGGCTCCCTCCCCATGCCCAAATATCTTCGGAGATGAGAGCAAGGAAGGATCTCTGGGATATGCAGGAAGCTTGGAGGGGCGTGGTAGAGCCAGCCTACTCCTGGACACCTCAGTAAGTCCTCTTCTAGTTCCAGCTTCCAACCTCATTCCCTCCTCTTCCTCATTCAGGGAGGTGGGCTGGGCCCCTGTGAGTTGGGCAAAGAGGTACTTAGAGGACTGAGGATTCCTCTCTTTTGCATTGGTGAGAGAGTGCTGCTGAAAGCTGGATTTGTGACCCATACCAGAGAAAACCATCCACTTCTCAGAGAACAAGGCTCCCTGGGCATCAGATGCAGGGAACCAACAATGGTGCCCCTTCATGGGACTTTGTCTGGCAACGGACAAGCCCCTCAGGACTCACTGTTCTGCCTACACCCCACCTTTCTCCTATTCTTTGAAAGATATTTTAGCTTTTTTATTCCTCCTATGTCTTCACTAAAATGGTGGTTCTTTATAATGATAAGCTCCTTTAGAACAGTATGATTAATAATGTCATTTGTAAAAGTGCTATAATAGATATGCAACAATGCACCACAGAGAACAAAGAACAAATTAATATAGCTAATCCATCATAGAACTGATTCTATGGATGGGGAAAAAAGTCCAGAATGTATGTAAACTTGCACGTATTAATAAGACTGAAGTCATCTCAGAAACAACAAGTTCTAAAAGTTGTCAAAGGCAGCTATAGTAATGGAAAAAGATTCTGGAGAATGATTTGAGTAGAAAGCCTCTCCCTGTCCTTTATTAACCATGTGACCCTGGAAAGCTTATTTAATTTCTTTGAGCATAAGCTTCCTAATCCATAAAATGGCAACAAGAACTTCTATCACGTAGGCCTGCTGTGAGGATTAAATCACATAAGGTATAAAGCGCCCAGCAATATATGGTGAAGGCACACACGATAATGTTAGTTTAGTATCTTCTCCAAAATAGCTTTAGGTCTTTTGTATACAAAATTCATATTTACATAGCAGTATTTTTTAAATAAAGATTGACAGTATCTAAAAACTTTTTGGTAAAAATGAACATCAAGATTAATTCAGAATTCTCTGCTTTCCCTTTGAAAATATCTTGGTTCAGTGAACTACAAAGTAATTTAGTAAATTAACATTTGCAGTAATATGATATCTACCTTCCAAAGTAACTCAATTATTACTTGCTGTTTTATCATTCTTGATCATAAAAGTTAATAAAAACAAATGTAAACAGTCCCCCAACTCTAAAATTCTTATACATTAGGATTATGTACACACTCAAAAATAAATACTTTTTAAATGTATAGTTTTCATCCATACTGTAAAAGCGTCCTTTTAAAACCACTTTTTACTTTACTTTTGGAACCAGAAACAGTTCTCTTCAATTCTCTTTCAAGATGAAAAGAAAGGTAGATTTATTTAGGCTTTTTGTCAATATTATCTCTACCTACTCTTCTGAGAATAACTAAAACATTTTTCTAGAACATCAGGTGTTTTCTAGAACATCAGTAACATCGGGTTACTGCAAGCAATTGTGTTTATTAAACAATAAAACACACTGTTATTCTGGTTTATTTTCTGACACTACACTAATAAACTAGCTAATAAACTACAAAAATTTTCAACTGAAAACCTATCTCTTTCTATAGATCTTACCCTTCAAAATATGGCCTTATGTTTTTTGTAGCTCAACTTTTAGTCTAAAGTTTTAATGTATATATCATTAACCTAACATTTAATCAGAGTCAAAATAATGAGAGTTTAAATAAACTAAGTTGTATTCGAAGAAAAGAGTTCTTTAGGTCCCTGCCAGAACTTTCAAAATATTTGCTAGCATTAACACGATTTGATAAACATTTACAAAAGGAAAGCATCGCCCCTACAAAACAGAGGGAGTACAAGCAGCCGTTGGGTGGAACGCCTTATGGATCCTGCAAGTAAATTTTACTTGACTCTTGTCTGACCAAACTTGACTCTTGTCTGACTAAAGAGTCAATATAATGTATAAAGCAGCATACTTTCAACACAACTGCTTCAGTTGACTATTAAAACTTAGAAAAGTCCACAGGAACATATCTGTTTAACGAATTCAGATGAGACGCTCACGCTGTCCACTTGTTGGGCAGCGATCCACAATCCACTTGCAACCCCGAAAGTTTTAGAGAGAGAGTGCAGGAAAATGAGCAGACTTCTGCTTTAAGGGTTTCTCCAAAACGTGACCTCACGTTTTTCATTAATTCACCTCTCCGCATTTCTATTCCTTCCTGCAAGCCATTTGTTTCAAATAGTGGCCCCTCCGCACCGTTAGACATGGTTGTAATTTTTTTTTAAGTTGTTGGGTTTGTTTTTCTTTTGACAAGGTGAGACTTAGCTGGACACTACCAGGAGACCTCCAAAAAGTCTCCACTTTATGTCTAACTTTATTCCTCTCCTACTTGGCTACCATTAATACTTCCACTTTCATTGGCAACTCATAAAGCTATCCAAACCGCTTCTGGTAGCAGGTGTTAGTCCTGTCAAAAGTCAAGTCAGGAAGCATGTTAGAGCTCCAGCTTTACTAAGCAGGAGCGGGATGTTTTCTTTCCACTGTTTGACTTAGTTGGTAGCACCCCCACCCCCTGCAACTCCCGGGGTAAGCTCAAGCAAAGCTGGAGGCGAGGCCCTCCGCACCTGGTCTCCGACCGCGCCCACCTGTCACTCACCGTGCTGCTGCCGCGCTCCTCGCGGTTCTCTGGGGTCCGCGGCTCCGCGGGGCTCGGCGCTGGCTCTGGGGGAGGCGGCGGCGGCGGCTCCAGCAGCTGCTCCAGGCAGGCGGTGCCCGGCAGGGAGGAACTCTTCTGATGGCACAAGTGCGCCGCGGGGCCCCGAGGCCATGCACCCTCATCTCGGGCGCGGTCCCCCCTCGGGGGCGGCTGGGGCGAGGAGGACAGGGAGGATGAGGCGGAGGACGAAGAGGGAGCTGAGTCCGGGGAGCGTCCGCCAGGAGGCGTCACTCCGGCTGCTCCGGCGGCTGCCGCCGGCCCCTTTCCCGCGGGAAGCAAATGCTCTCGGATCCGCCGGCGCAGCGCGGACCCCTGCTCGCCTCTGCCCGCGCTCCCGGGCTCGACAGGCTCCGGCGAGGAGCAGCACAGGTTGGGCTGGGAGGAGGAGAACACGCGGTCCAGCACTTGCTTCCGTTTCTTGAAGCCGCTCCACCTGCTGCCCGCGCCACCCACCCCGGCCACTGCGTCCCGCCTGCCCCCCGGGGGTGGCGGGGAGGGCGACGGGGTGTCCGCAGTGCGGCGCTCGGGGCCCCCCGCGCGCCCTCCCCCGCCGCCCTTGCTCTTGCCGACCCCCAGCTGCAGGTTCTTCCAGAGCCGGGCGTGGAAGGAGGAGGAGGCCGCCGCAGGCTCGGGCGCGTCCGCCGCGGCAGCCCGGGGCTCCATCCTCCACCCCCTGCTCCTCCTCTCCCCTCCTCCTCCTCCTCCTTCTGCTCCGCCGCCCTCTCGGGCCGCGCCTCCTCCCGGAGCGCCGCGGCGGCGGCGGCGGCGGCGGCGGGCGCAGCAGCAGAAGCCGGGAGTGCCCGGCGGCTTCAGGCCAGCGCGCGGGGGAGATGCCGCCGCCGCCGAGGCTCTCGGGCCGCGGAACTCCGGCGCCGCCTCTTCCTCCCGCGCCTGCCGGGGAGCGCTGGCGCTGGCGCCGAATCCCGGCCGCCGCGACTGCAAAGTTGCGAGCTCCGAGCTCCGCGGCTCCAGTCCACTGGAGTCCCCCAGGCCGCGCCCTGGCTCCCTCTCCTCGCGGGCTCCGGGCTCGGGAAGCTACACGCACCCGGCGCGCGCGTCCAGCTGCGCCGGGACCGCACTCAGCGCCCTCCGGGCAGCACCTGTCAGCGGCGGGGGCGGCTGCCTCCAAACTGGGCGCGCGCGCGACTCACACAACAGGGCGGATCAGACGGAAGACACCCGGGACCAGCAGCCCCGCGGGAGCGCCCCGGGACCATCCTCCAGCTCCTCTGTGGGGGGGCAGGCGGGCGAGAGCCGGGCGGAGCTGGGTGGGGCCCGGAGCCAGCTTGCTCCCCAGGATCCGCCACAGTTCCCACGAAGCTAGCTCTGGGCCGGCCGCTGGACGCGCCCGCCGGCGACGGTCTGGGTAGGACGAAGGGAGCTAGAGTGGAGACTGCTCCTTCGGTGGGTCCTGTGGGGCGCAGAGCGTCCACACAGAGAGGTGAATCTAACCGAGTTGGGGGCTGAACACCGCTGCCCTCGCCCGATTGCGTGCCCTGGGTCCAAGACGAGAGTTTGATTTCTTCCGTCTTCACTTCATCCCCATCCACCCCTCCCGATCTTTATTTGCATGTGCACTGGAGGTTTCTCTTACCATCAAGGTCTAGCAGCTTCCGGAGTCTGACAATAAGGCCAGCCCTTAAGTTGCAGGGAGTTTACGGTGGACGAAGACGCGGAGGATGCGCACTGCCTGACCCCATTCCAAACACAGAGAATCTTGTTCTTTTCACCCCAGCGCATTTTCTTTTGGTTACTTCATTTGCTTCATCGCAAGGCAAATGGACAAGGCTTTTTAGCTCATTCAGACTTTGCTTCTTCCGAAATCTACTCATCCAAGGATCTTCTGAGTCTACTAACAGAGCCTCTTGAAAGGCAGGTGACACAGTGCCCCTTCCCTCCTCCACTGCCCTCCACACCCCTAAATGTGGAAAATACGGCGAGTTCCCTGAGCTTTGGCACCAAGCTGTCTGATTCCAGTCTCATCTTGCTAGCAGTGTGCCCTCGATGTTACCAACCTCTCTAAGCTTTTAATTTTTCTATTTTTCTTACCTTTATAACAAATACTTAACAAATATTTATTGAGCACCTACTATGTACCAAACACTATGAAAGGTTCTGGGGATGCAGCTGTGAACAAGGCAGACAGGGCCCTACCCTCGTGGAGCTCATCATACAGTGGGGGAATTAGACAATAAACAGAGAATTTTTAATAGTGAAAAGTCCCATGGAGACAATAAAACAGGGTATCATAACAGAGTGGCTATGGAAGTAGTGTTGCCAAATAAATTGGAAGACACCAAATTAAATTTGAATTTCAAATAAACAATGAATTTTTGTATGTCCCAAATATTGCATGAGACATACTAAAATACTTTGTTGTTTATCTGAAATTCAAATTTAACTGAGAGTTTTGTATTTTTATTTGTTAAATCTAGCAACCCAAAACGGAGGGTTTTGTGCTCTTTTTACATTGTGTGTACAGGGAGAATCTCTCTGAAAAGCTAAAATTTGAATTAAGACAATGAGGACAAAGAACAAGCCATTGAAAGATCTGATTACAGCATTCTAGGCAGAAGGAATAGCACGTGCAAAGGCCCTGAGGCGGGAAGCAGTTTGGTTATGCATGTTCAAAGACAGATGGAGACCACTCCAAATAGAGTTGGAGCAAGGTGGGTAGAGTTGGTAAGAGATGGAGTGGAAGAAATGGGCACAGTCCTGGAGGGATGGGTCCCATAGCTACAGTAAGAGTTTGAGTTTCCTGTAAGTGAAATGAGGAGTCATTAGAGGGTCTTTAAGTATGGGAGTGATGTGATGTGATTTAATAATACCTGCCTCACAGGGCTATCTTAAGGATTAAGTGAAAAAGGACTTAGCTCAGTGCCTGAGGCTTTTCCACATGAGACAATCAAGCTGAAAGTACCATGACCACAAAAAATTACCTCAATATAGAGCTAAAATTACCTCTGATAGCCCAAAAAGAACCTGCAATACCCAGAAATCTTTTTCTCTCTAACATAGGAAAAACAGCTTATCTAGGTTTTCTAGGACATGGTAAACAGAAAGAGAGAAAATAAGTAAAGAAATATAGGATCACTGTAGAGAATTAAGAAATGGCCACCACTTACCAGAACTCTATAAATATGTTGTTTGTCATAATTATACGACATGGAGCCATGGACCCATGGAGATAACTCTACACAGTTCAACCTTATACTCAGAGAGTCTTTTAATGATGCATTTAATGAACTTTGGTAGCTTGATATTTTCATTTTTCTCTTGCACCTAATTTTGCCTTGAAAATACTAACTCTGAGATTCCGGTTCTGAAATCTATGATCCCAAATAACCCTTATCCATCAATGTGAATTCATTTATACAACTTGAAAGAGCATATGTAAAATATCTGAAGTGGATTATAAAATGAGAAGCTGTCCTACGAACTGTGCAATATATAAAGTTGTACCAGATATATCAAATATCTTATTATATTTAGGAAAAGATACTTATAAAAACTCTACAACACAAGGGGAAAATGAATGATACAAATTGATCACTGAGAGAATACAGAGGAGTGAAGAATCACTTTTGGCTTGACTGATCAAGGAAGCTTTCTTGTTGGAGGCATCATCTGAGCTAAGATCTATTGCGGGTGACAGAGTACACCAAGAAGTTGGATTACCACCCTCAAGGGGAAGCAAAATTCTTGGCGCATAGCAAAACTTCAATAAATGTTAGCTATTCTTTTTATTACAATTTACTAACCATCTTAACTATTGATAGAGCATCTGTTGCTTAAATTAATATGAAATTAATGTATGCATCACATTTTGAAATGCAGAAGGTTGGGAAGGTGATGGATAAGGTAATATTTGAGCAGAAACCTTAAGGAAGTCAGAGAGGGAACCAAGTAGTGAATCTGGAGGAAAATTTTTCCAGGACCAGGGAACATTAAGTGCAAAAAGGCTAAGGCAGGAACTCACTCAGCTTGAGGAACAGCAAGGAGAAAAAGTAGCTGGACCAGAGAGCAAGAAGGGAGTGGGAGGAGAAGATACCGCGGAGATGGCTGAGGGCTACATCACGGAGGACTCTGCAGGCAACAGGGAGGACTTTGGACTCGCATGAGATGGGAAGCCACTGAGGGCGCTTTGAGCAGAACTTCTTTATAATCCAACTTGCATTTTAAAAGACTCGCTCTGGCCTCTAGGTTGACAATCGGGTGGAGGGAGGGCATGGGTGGGAACAGAGTTTGGATAGGAGGTATCACTCTAATACCTGAGAGACAATGGTGGCCTTGATGAGTAGGCAAGAAGTGATAAAAGTGGTTCAATTCTAGACACACGATGTTTTGCAGATAGAACTGACAGGACTAGCTGAAGTTAGGACATGGGGTGCTCAAGCCGTACGCCAGATGGTTTGCATCATTTACTACATGTAATTCTCACAGCAATCCCATTTTATAGAGGAAGGAACCAAGTATAACTATAGATGAAGGCACGTTAAGTGACCTTGCAAGGTCACTGACTGAGCCATTAGCAGATCCCAAGTCTACAGGATTCCAAAGCCACACAGCTTCCTTCATTTTAAAAAATATGCATAAATAAATAGAATAAAGTAATTGAAAGAAGCCTCCAAAGATGCACTGATCCGGGTCCTCACCTTGGGGGAGCAACAAGACTGCCTTGGACAGAACTACAACTTCCGCTTGATGAGATCAAGGACATAAACGCAAGCCCAAAAACAACATTTCTGGGACTAATTGAGTTAAAGTCCAGCTAAATGGCACTTAAGGAGCCCTCTCGTCAGCAGAGGCCTGGCTGCCGTCCCAGCTCCCAGCACTGGGCCAGCTGCCTTCAGGCCCTCACTTCCTCTCACAGTCTCTGAAATGGGGCTAATAATATCTATCTGCCTGACCCATGTCACAGGACCCAATTAAAAGCCAAATGTAGGCAGCATTTTTGATGAGTGAAGCCTGTCCGTAACAGAGGGGTTATCATCACTTTGTAACCAAACACAAGAAAAGCTACCAGACTGACTCGTCCCAACTCACATGGAAAAACCCTGCCTTTGTGGAGAGAAGCATCTTGAACCTTTCCAAACCAAGAACCCAGTCATTACAATTCCACATGTTGAGATGGCTGCTGACTATACAGTCAACTCAATAGCATAAATTCCTGCTCAGGTCTAAACTCATTTTCGCCTTTTTCTTCCTTAAAAGCTTTCTCAATAGTTCTCAAATGCAGTTTAATGTTTAAGTAACTTCAGAGAAGTTACTTCAGAGAAGTATTTCTGTTTATTCAGTTTAACCTAAGTCACTTCCTATTTTCTTCTTAAGCAGAGTTGTAAAAAATTCTAGGGTCCTAGACCAAGAGATACTCTGGAATTTCTGTGTTGGAAGGGCATAGGAAGTGGCCATGTGGCTTGAATTAGGGAGAAGGGAGACTTGAAGCTGTATGTGCATAAAAAAAATTTTAACCAATTGTCCATATAAAAGAAGAGAAGAAAGGGTTAATTGGAGATTTGGAGGGAGCAAAAGCCTCCCCCGCTCATCCCTTGATGCCAGTTCTGCTCTGCATAAAGTCAGAAGACATGGGCGTTTGCCTGGTGTTGCACCTAAGTGCTCTGTAACCACAGGCAGCTGTTGGTGCCTCAGTTTTTCATTAGTAAAATGAAGAAATATAGGGGCCGGCCCAGTGGCGTAATGGTTGGGTTCGTGCACTCTGCTTCAGCGGCCCAGGGTTCGCAGGTTCGAATCCCAGGCGTGGACAACACATGGCTTGTCAAGCCATGCTGTGGCAGCATCCCACGAACAAAACGGGGGAAGATGGGCACAGATGTTAGCTCAGTGACAATCTTTCTCACAAAAAAAAAAAAAAAAATGAAGAAATAGAACTGGTTTCCCTCTAAGGTCCCTTTCATCTTAAAAATTACATAAGCTTCCGAAACAGTTCTCCAATGTAGGATATAATCCATCTACTTATTCCTGGTCTGACTTCTCACTTTAAGTGGTTTATACAAAGGCAGGTAATACTGGATGGGTATGTAAACAACTCCCTTTGAATACTCCATGTCACAGAAGATGCTAGGAACCTACTCATCCCTCAGGCCTCAGCACTTCAGTGCAGGCATCTGATCTCTCCACCTGAAGGCTGTCTTTCAAATGGCACCACTCCCCCTCCCCCCCCAGCACGTGCCTGGAATAGTCCTCAACCAGTGAGTGCTGCTAGCTGATGTATAGATATATCTAGCTCCTTCGTGCCCCAAGAAGGGGTCAGGTGGGGTAGCTCAGAGGCAGGGGTTATATATTTTTCCCAGTTCCAATGCCCTCAGTGCTAGCTGGCTTGATAACATGCCCTTCTTCAGCTTCCTT